TTGTGAATTTGATAAGAAATATTATGTAGTCAAGGTTTCGGTTTGGCCTTGAGCCAGCCAATAAAATTCAACGAATATGTAGGTTAATGAACAGTCAAAATACAATTTGAAATTATAAAATCTAAACGTAGTCACAAAAACAATTAACTATTTTGTGTACTTAACTTTTATGTTCAAATATAAATAAATTCAAGTCAACATTGAGTGATATCCAACAGACTGTTTGTTCAAAGTGACTAAAATTAACTCAGTTCACATCACTGATAATTATACACAAGGTTAGTAAATATGCAAATGAGACTATAAGAATGGATTGTTTTTGAATAAGGCACCAAACAAAAAACAACCATCACTAATTTTACTTATTCCAATGTTTTTTTTCACTGCTTTATGCAAACGTGATCATCTGTTGTATGTTGTTTTGCAATAACTTTTAGATTACTTTGAGAAATCAGTTGAGTGTATTATCAAAAACAATACGCTCAATTTTCCATGCAAATCTCTCAAATAGGAGAAAAACTGAGAAATATATCTTGCTCTTGATAAAGCTACTCAGCTGGTTATACAGTCCAGAATGCAAAATCTCGTGATATTAACACTGGGATCTTTTAGTAATTTGCAAATCATCTGTTCATAATTTACTTGAAACTCCTTGTTTTCCATTAAGTTAGAGAAATAACAGATATATAAAAAATGATTTACTAACAGTTCTTTTCAGTGATGATTGACTGCTTTTTAATACTAAACTGAACTGGATTTTAGTAACAACGCAGTATCATGGATAGGCTGAGGTTGAAAATGCAAATTATTTTATTCATTCTGGGTGGTTTAAAGATAAAGTGATTACTGAGTAACCTAAAGATCATAAGTTCGATTGCTTGTGTTTCATCGTAAATGAATGGCGGAATGAGATTGTTTAGTTTTCAACGGGCATCTAACTGCAGTTACTCCGTGACATAAACTATAAATAAAAATGTTCTTACGCATATAAAAATAAGAATTCGACATTTAATAAACACTTGATTTTAAAGTGCTCACAAAAAATGAAGTTTGATATGTTTTATAATTATTCAGCTAATCGTGTAGCAAAGCAGCTAGATGGAGGTACAATATACATTGTGAATAGTTCATATGAAATGAAGGTCCATTAGTTACTAACACTAATTACTAATACATACACTGAAATAACTAAGCAAGAAGTCAACCGATTGTTTAACAAATAATAATAAAAGTTGAATTCATTATGTGATATGTTAATTACTTCATGTATAACATAAATTACCAAGCATTTCCGTTGTGAAACTAGATAAGTTATCAAGGCTCTTTGGTATGACATTATTCTCATCTCACTAAGATTAATTTACGACTTTATTGATTTTCAAGAGAAATAAATAAACATTATTCAAGCACTTTGAAAACGTATGTAATATGACCTTCCCTCACAGTAAGATTATACAGTTATACATTTACTAAGTAAAATGACGGGTCGAACCAGTTGCCTGGAGGCCGTTGGTTGATACTCAGCCAGAAACTAGATTTGATTTTGAACCGAACCATTATCTTTACACGTAAAACTTAGTCTGCTGGTTAAGATTAGATTGGATAATCTAATCAGGTCTTATAACTTTTAATAATATGAATGTTAAACTTTTTTCAGTAGTTCAAAAAAATAAAAAGATGACCAAAGTTTGGGTAAAATTATTCCATTGTTGATCTATTCCATCAGCTTACAAAAGTCAGTGAAAAAATTAAATCTACCATCAGCTAATGATTGCTTAAAGTATAATCAGGTTGCAAATACAGGGTATATCCACTCATCCACTCAAGGATCCCATTTACTAATAGAGAACCATTAAACGAAGTCCCAAATATTAACTACAACAATACAAACATTGTAGCCATTGGATAAGTCAGAGGCTGCTTTGACTCAACATTATAGCCAATAATCCTGTTATTATGCGTTGTTAAGAAGTAGATAACTATACAATTCAATGATGAATTATATTCCTCAGCTAAGACAGTTGATTTATTGATTTTGCAAACTATATACACACTAAAGTATCGAGTATTTAATGTCAACTACTACTGGTTTAATGCAGTCAATTTCATCTGTCAAACGAGCATTTGAAATGATGTGTATCTCATCGTTGTTTCTGATGTCATTCTAATTAGTGGTTAATGAATAAGTAAGTCTTCGTTTACAGACTTTCTTTCTTCCTTACATCCGTATAACAGTCTTGTTCCGTTAGAATAAGTAGCAGTTATACCACTGTCACAGCAAACAACAATACCAGTATCAGCATAATCCTTTTGCTAAGTCCTCACAGAGGTGATGAGTGCTCAGTATACTACTCTCACTGTGAATATCAAAAACGAAGTTTGGTTACATTCACCTGGAAGGTCTCAGAAAGGATGAAATCTGTATTTTGAACTCCACTGTAGCTTGTTGCTCGAAATATTATCAATCTGTATTCTAGAGTTTCAAATAGGTTTTTTTCATAAACCCTTTAAATGACGTTGGTAGCTGAAATCCGAAGGCAAACAGAGTATTGTTATGAGACAGACCCTTTATAAGAAACCAACAAGAACTGAATCAAATTTAAACCTTAGTAACTTACATGAGGTTTTGTCACCTTACTGACATAAACTAAGTGAGAACATGCATAGTCTATTGTTATCGTTCAAAAACAGTTAATCTAACAATCGGCTGTCATCAAGAGTTCATACCAGCAGGAAAATTAGTAAGAGATGAGCAGCTGTTCCGTCCAATTCCAGGACTCCTCAGTAGCACACACTCGACAAATCATGCAAGGACAAACGGAGGACCTTCAGATTCCGAGGCCATCATGACTCCTACGAGAAAGTAAGTCGTAGATGATTGGTTTATATAGTCAACTTGTCACATAGTACAGTCTTTATTCAATATTGTCAACAAGTAACCGTCTCACTCCAGACTCCTTAAATTACAACTCAACAGAACTTCGAGAAATCCATATCCGATACAAGTAAAAACACTACTGTAATTCACTTAAATGCACTTCTAGTGTTTTAATAATCCGGAGGTATATTAATCGGAGTAACAGATTTCAAGTAACTTAGATGTCATAAGTAATCTTACCACAATATTCTGCGTCATATTGAAATGAAAAATCTTACATCAACAAAACACTTCGATTCATTCTAAATTATCAGTTAGATTTTTGTTTGGTCCTATTCCTCAATTTATTTTCTCTATAATGTTCCGATTTTCTGTAAAATAATTTTGAGAATCACTTCAATTCTTCAGTACCGAACAATGAACTCGGTGAAATAAAATGGGGCTCACCGAGAAACCAACATCAATTATTATTAATGGGTGCTTATTCACTTATGTATCGATGTCTGACTGATTCAAACAATTTAGCTGTGCTTACCGTTTGTAGGGCTTTGATTGCTCAAACTATATTTATTTCTTCCTCATTGTTATGCAGTGGTCACATCGCAATGAAGTTAAAAATGATAATCAACAAGAAACCCAGTTGGTATATCCTGGTTCCCTCTAGAATCTAATTTTACCTAATTTACTCACTTCATTTCCCTCTATTAATTTTAACTACATGTTTTTGGAAATACATCCTCAGCTGTTGCATTTTTTCGAAGGAAACTGTTAACTATTTAATAAGGTTTCTATTTCCATCTAAACACTAGGATTGATGAGGAACATTGAAACTACCTAATATATTATCGAAACGTGAAAACCCAGGGTAATCAATACAAGGGAAAATATCTTGGAAAATGAATTTATGATCTAAACCATTCACCGATAATTGTTTCACTTAGCCAATTTTTGTTTATATTGAGAACATGGTATTAGTAGTTGACTGCCAATGAAGAGAAGTTTGTTGTGATAGCTTTTTGTTAATCTACTCATTGAGTTTCAATATTTGAATCTCGAAAGAATCGTCTTTTCTATTTGGTGAATTTATAACCACTTTCAATTAATAACTGAAAATAGTTCTGTGATCTAATTATGTAAACTAGAATCGAATTATCAGTAAAGCATACTCTATCCAATGGATTCTTACGTCCATATACGTTGATGGTATTCGTTCAAAACTACAGCGAGAAACAAACTAGTGATTGTAAAAATAGATTCACATGCTAATGAATATTTACCTGATAGGAAGACTTCTGTTAAACTCATCACCTAGTAAACTTTATATACTGTATAAATTGTGACATTTTTGAGAGCGACTAACTTGTTGTACGCACATTAGCCTATGTTGAATATACGAATACTCCCCCATTGGTAATAACACCGCCTAATATATATTTAATCACATATAAACAACTCTGCACTTCATTGGTCAAACTCGAAGATGGTCAAGAAATATATGACTTGATACTGGTGATAAGCGGATATACTAGAGTATATCTACTATAAAATTCAAAAATGTGACGCGATAGAGTCCCCAAGGTACAATTCACACCAACACAGACCTCAAAATTCTTGAATTCAATCATTGACAGGTTTTGTTACTTGAATAGAAATCTTATGGGAGTATTCAGAAAAACTGTCCACTAGTCAGAACAGGTGAAAAAAGATTGAAACAGGGTACTTCACAAATATATAGTAAGCAGCTCAAACTAGAACTCCCGATGAATATTGTGTTTGGAATAAACCTATTATTATGAAAACCAAGAGCCAATGCACCTATATAACTTGTAACAGTTTTCTATTTCCTCGTCATATACCAGATTGATCACTTACATTGTGAGAGCGTGATAAACTAGATTACTGATTAAACGTTTCGGTTTTCATACAACCGCTTCAGTTTGAACTAATATACATAATGGTATCTATACAAGATTCATCCAAAATGCTATTTTGCCAAATTTTGTAAGATAGCATTTAATATGACGACCAGCGAAATATTGTTCATCCTAAAAATTATATAATTTTTTCCACGTTCTATTTTAGTTGCCCAAGACGAACCTATCGACTGTAACATGGAAACTTGTTCAACAAAATAACCAACCTTTATTGACTGAACATTAAACAAAATAAGATACATTCTTTAATTGGATAATTAGTGTTTTTGACTTAATATACGTGGATGTTCCACTATAAATAGACTATACATTAGTATGATTATTGCAAATATCCAATATTTGAACAGTCAGTAGAAAACCAGAGGAAATGATGATGTAAAGACCGAAATAACACTTGGTCAGAGAGTAAACTATATGTTTCTAGAATACATTAAGACTTGAGAAAATAAAATATTCGAAGGCCAGAGTAAAAAGAAAACACATGTAAACAAAAATATTAATTTGAATTACGCTCTTGGTTAACTAATGATAAAATAAAATAACCCCATATAACATGAAATGTCGAAAACACTTTTTTATTTGTTTCAAATATGATTGTAAATAGAAATTTGAATAGTCGTCAAAAACTAAATGCTTCAGGAATACAAAACACAGACTTAGACTCAGTTATTTGTAAGAATCCAACATCTCCGGGATTAAATTTTCATAAATTTTATAGTCAACATCCATAAATATACAAAAGATAACACGTTGAATCTGAAAGAGAAAAAACAGTACCCAATAGAACATGGTAGTACTATATAAAACCAGATAATTATATAATAATAATAATAATAATAATAATAATAATAATAATAATAATAATATGAAAGCATCCTGATGAATAATTTATAAAACAAAACTGAGTCATTCTAAAACACTTCTGCTTTATTTTTGAAATATTTTCACTCTAAACCGAATTTATCTGTTTATATTCCCAGCTTCTATACTGTTCCACAATTACGAGTATCTTAGACAAGTATGATCGAATGAAATTCTGTTTACTTTATAAACGATGGGTACAAAAAGTAAACTAAATAACTGCTTGACTACAAAGATTTCTTTCTCAATCAAGAAAAACATTTCAGAGCTGAATGATGAACAAATTATACTGTATTTATGTAGTTGAATACAACTTTAAATATGTGAAAAACCATTAAAGTAAATCATTTTTTGCATACTATGATTTAAGTTTCTATTTTGATTAACTCTCACTTAGTGCTTTAATATGTTTCCCGACAAAGCCTTAGAAACAATAGATGTAATCTATCACCATATTAACCAATCAGATTCAACTACAAAACAATCCAAGCAGTTAATAAGTATTTGCAAGACTTCACTTATCGTTAAATTTACTAGGATCAATTTATATGCAGTACCTTATACAATTAACAGTAAACAAGTGTTTTCTGTAGTACTGTTTCCATATGAAAAAGGCAATAACCTAATTCCATTTCGAGGTTCAACTGACAAACAATAGAATTAGCTTTGAAATGAATGAAAAGACAAAGGAATAGGGAATATCAACAGTTGAGATCATGAGTCAATTGAAGCTAGATCACCATGGAAAACCTGGAAGCATTGGACGGCCGTTTCGTCCTATGACGACCAAAGAAATATTGTACATCGGACGAAACGGCCGTCCAATGCTCTCAGGTTTTCCATGGTGGTCTAGCTTCAATTGACTCATGATCTCGACTATTGAAATTACTACAATATCCACAAAACCCCTTCTGATACGAATAGGGAATAAAACACTTCCCCACTCCCCAAAAAGATAAAAGCCTATAATCTGGAAGTAATTAATTGTATACTAAAAATGTAGAGGCAAGAAACTACAAACGAATGTTGGTACATCGTATTTATCGGGAACAAATTCAATATAACTCTTAAATTGTCACATACGTATAATAACGATCAAGCTATGAAGAAATGATTGCTAATAAAATGATACTCATGTTTTGAAGGACTCAATTAATAATAAATACAACATTAACATATCGATGCATTGCTAACTGTAACATTACCACTCACTATTTCTGATTTAAACCAGTAGCTTAAATGTTACACACATAAAGAACCCAACACTTTTGGCCTCGTTTGCACAAGAACTATTTCCATATGATTTCCACAATATATTTGCTATTATTTTAAACGTACATGGGTCTCATCATCAGCATACCCGATCTTCTATGTATTATTTAAATGAAGTCATTAGAGATAATATACCAGTCTTCGAATTTCCAATCACCTCTTTTGGTTATTATCGATAGATGTCGATAATGATAAGACAATCCTCCAGTATGTAAAACGGTATTACAAAAATACGTTAAAAATGCATTTTATTAAATATAAACTACCAAAAAACCAACCTCTTGATGAGATTTGAGATAGGAGAGCACTGTATGAAGTGCCACCTTGGCAGCTGCTTCATTAGGGAAACCTTGAGTTTAAATATAAGGGATTAAAATGTACACTATATAATTTAATATAATATTAATATTAAATGATGGCCGTGAAAATTGCATGTCGGTCTACCAGATGACATTACAAGCTATTTAAGTAAACATTTCTGAGCTTTGTAGTGACTATATAGACCAGCTTTCAATATTTTAACAGATTCTGAAACATAATTAAGCCTACCGCTCTCAAGCTCTAGAATAACTTCTTCACCTTACTAATTAACAGATCCTGTGAGTGTAATTATCACTGAAAGGCGTATCTAGCAAGCGTGTCATTACTTGGATATTCGTAATATTTCGAGAGTCTATGGTGAACTCTTGTTTGAGGTGTCAATCGATTGTGCAGGCTTGTGTGGGACTTGAATATTTACTCTATTTTTTATTTTGGTGCAGATATCCTTTCGGAGATAAAAGTTTTTTTCCTTCATCATTTTATAAAGATAAACCCATAGTAGAAACAACAGGGCCATTCAGATGAACACCCTGACACAATATATTCTCAATTCATGCCAAGATTCAGTCATTGACCCAAAAAAGCTATCTAATTGAAAAGAAATTAAAATTATCAACAGTTACTCAATTTACTGTGAGATATAATAACAACCAAAGGATATTGTAATAACTATACAAATACCGTGATGATCGGTGTTCGACTAGTAACACTTATGACGTGAATACAATAAAACAAACTAGACAAGTTTCTCTGTTTGAAAATTTGTTTATTTATTTATATATGAATGTAACAGTGTAATTAGTGGAAGGACGAATAAGATGTTCCACTTGAGGACTAGAAACGAAATATGACAAGAACATTGTCTCTAACTGCATATATACCGGGGTCGAATAAGACATCTTTAAGGTAAGTGACACAGGATTTTTTTTAATTTTTAAATGTTCCATATGCAATTCAGTACAAGTGTCATTCACAGGAAGATTTTGAAGTAGACCTTATAAAAGAGACGAGAATCTCTTACTTAGTATTTAAAACAATTACCTCAAAATACTTCCAAACAACTCGAAACTGTGAGTTAATAATTTTATTCTTAGACAACAACAGTCCCACACGAATAATGAAGGTAACTCGATAGGGTGATACGCAAAAAAGAAGTATCATCGAAATGATAAGGGACGAACAAATCAGTATGAATCACAGACTAATAAGAACTTACCATAAACCCCTGTGGATATACAGGGAAATGCAATAGACTGGATATTGTGCTCAGAGCACAACTCCAATGCCTTTCGGTATGTGGATTCCAAAGCTGCATCATTCCGTCCGACTGGTCCGACACAATGAATCACATCTAAGGGTTAGAACAGTAGGAAATTGAAAATTATAACCTGAAAAAACGACTGGAAACAAGCAATACGGAAAACATTACACCTGTTATATAAAAAGTAAAACTATATGACTGATAGACTGACATAGTGATGAAGAAGTGGGGAGGATTGCATCAGCTTGATGTCGTGTTTAAAAAAAATAAGATCAAGTTATAAACGTCATATCGGATACAGCGGTATATCTATTATGTTCTAGTTCGCGAATCCTGGGTGGTCAGTGTCCACAACTCCCTACTAATTTCTCAGATTTACGAAGCGATTTTTACTGCAATTCACCCATGTGTTTCTAGTATTGGCTCATTAAGTAAAAGTGCTGCAACCAATCCTGCCTAGTTTCTGAAAGCTGGCACCCAGTATTATGCAACTACACGTGAAGAAGTGAAGTTTATCAAGGCTACTCCTCCCTGAAGCTCACCTACAGAGGACCAAGCTTGGAACAAGAATAGGCGAAAATACAATATAGATTGAGATCATCTGTCCGAGTTTCCCTGGAAGGGTTCAGATTGTATGCACTGTGAATAACTATTTCATTTTGCGGAAAATGAAGAAATCGGATTAGGATGGACGGTCTTACCGACTTTTAAATATAACCGCAAAACCTAAGAGCCGATCGTACGACCTTTCTTGCCAACATTTTTTCCCTTTCGCAATGTTACCTTTAGACCTGGTAATCTTTACTGCAGATAACAAAATCTCACGAGATAAAAGGGTGTGTTCCTTTTAGAATTGACCTATAATTCCTTTAAACGGTAGGACAGTAAAGTCACTGATTGTTTTTGGGAAGTACTTTAATATCCCCATGTCTCAGATACGGTAGCCAGCCACAGAATTTGGAAACTGCTTTCATTTGGTCACTTTCTAGCCGGACTGCCTGGCATGACAAGACTGCAAAAGGACAAATGATCCAAACAACACAGCTCGATAGGATCACCACGCTAGACAAGCCAGACTAGCATATTGAGGTAGAGGCTAGCAACGTTAGCGGCCAATGCTCATGATCATTCTAATTATTAGTGTACTACCAGAACTAATCAAGATGACTAGCCACTTTAACTTCGGGTTAAGTTTATTAGTAATGTCTCTGAATAGACCTAGCTTGGAGAATAGAATTATTCAATTTATTCCCATTAAGATAATAAAAACCTGTTAACACTATATTCGTATATATTTATTTATGTTGCTTCTTGATGTCACCAATCCTCATAGGTGAGTCACGATTTCAGCTCGAATACTAATTAATCAGGGAAACCATAAGGATAATTTGTTTGGCTACTTTAGTCTTATTTTGGGCAACGAGACCCACAATAATAGATAGGAATCTTCTATACACATGAAGGTAGATGTTGCAATATATTTAATAAAACCAGCTCTTACATGTGACTATTAACGAACACCTGATCACAATAATAACTAAATTGTCAAACAAGTTTGTGATTGATTGTAAGGGAAATCACATATATAGAAAAAATTCTGGTGAGACTATAATTTATGGACGACCTTTTAGCGATGCTGAAGTGGCCTTGAGTGAACAACTTCTAATTAGGACTAAATGAGGGTTATAAAGCAGTTAGAATTCTCATTTATAGTTGATGGTTAAAGTTTAAAATTAGATTTAGGGTTTTCATCACGAACTGACATCAGCTATAATGCCCAAACTCTATTTAGCTAAATGTATGAACGAATTTCGCGCCAAATTCGTGAATCGTCATCTTATATCTGATTGGTTCGTCCATAAATTATAGTCTCGCCGTGTACAAAAATACCTTTAACATCAACAAAATGTTTATTACGCGATAGACTGAGACTTATTTAACACCCTTGGCGGGAAGAAGAATCCATATTAGAAATGGTTATATTTTGGTAAAGATAATCTGGTGGTAAAATCACCAACTTTAGAAAGCAGCTTATCTGGATACTACAATCAAAATCCTTAGTAGCTAGTTTGTCCAAGAGAAATAATTCAAAATCTCAAATCAATTGGCAACTTGAAGGACTAATATACTAAGAAGTTTATTAGAAAGAAAGACAATAAGTGACAAGGTACATTAATGCTAAAATACAACTTGTTTGTTCATTGTTTTGCGACCCTACAGGACTACAGTGAAAAAAAACAAGTGAGAAAGCAAGACAAAATCCAAAAACCAAACAAGTGGATAATCTGATCTGTTTACTAGTAAGTAACTTGCATATAGTTATGAGGATTTAATGTTTCCGTAGGACATGGAATTTAAATAGTTTACTTGGGCATCGAATAAATTGTTTAAACGTATATGACAAAAAAAGAGAGAAAAGTGAACTTTTAAATAGAAAGTGAACATACATTTGGAAGGCAAATTGAAACCTGGAGTAAGTTTTGCATCCCCAGTTGGACAACCACCGAGCTTTTGACAAGCTGCTAACAATTGTGAACCAGCTGCCCTATGTATCGCACCATCTACTCCTCCACCACCCCTCAATTGGGAATTCGCAGCATTTGCAATAGCATCAATTTGGAGATGTGTTATGTCTCCACGCCACAAACTAATACGTGATCCTAAATTTGACACCAAATTGCTCGTTTCTATCAAATGAAATTTTTAAAAACAGTTAAGCATTTTAGAAAAGTAGTTTTTACAGAAACTAGTGCCTAAATTTTCAGTTTGATTACTGTCCTACACTTGGCAAAAGCAACTATAAAAATGAATGAAAACGAGATGTTTACCCCCAAATGCCCTGGTATGGCCGAGAGTGGGGTGGGCTTGTGGTGGTCGGTATCCGATATAATCCTTAACTTCGTATACAGTTCGTCTTGCTAACCGTTCTATATAACGTCCCAACGGTATATTAATCAGAAGGCAAATACGAAGTGTTGATTACGTTTATTGCGAGACCACACACATATATCCAAAATTACAGATGCATTAACGAGCATTAAGAGTTGTGCCGAACAGCAAACAGGCAAGCGAGCGACTGATTGAATATAAGTAATCGAGTACAATCAAACGAGCGAGAAAGCAGAGTCCATGTCGTGTTGCACAGGCTTTGCTGAGTGCGTCGGATTAGAGATTGAGCTGGACCCGTTGAGTGTGTTCGTCGGATGTATCAAGTGCAGAAATCTCTTCATCGACGTAGCTTGCTGCGTTGCGCTCGTCGTCGGCGGGCTTACCAATGTGGTAGACCTTTTCGCATGCTAAGCGAGCGAGAGCCATAACAAAGCAATTTTGACACGTATGGAAGATGGCTGGGAAGCCAACTCCATTTTAGTCAAGCGTAACTCAATATTTATAGTCAGACAAAATAAAGCTACAGACATGTGATTAATAGGATAAGAAGGACACACACATATAAGCTCATATAAAAACAGTCTAGATTGATAAGCGAATAAATAACAAGGTCAATGTATGGCTCAAGTAAAATGAATAGAATGGGATGTCCGAAAGCTAGAATAAGGCATATGGGCTTGGCATAATAACTGACACTACAGGCTCACCCTCCCTCTCGAAATGCTCTCACACGGGCACGCGTATGCAGACTCTGCCAGGGAAGTCCTACTCACTGCCTTCTCGTGGCGAGGGTGTTGTTTACGAAAATGAGAAGACGAAAAGTGAATGTCCGGGGCTTTAACCGGATCCCAAACCAATGGTGCACATGGGCTCCAGTATCCTAAGGGAACAAATGGCGTATGAACCAATCGTTGGTCACTGGCCACCATGGGACCGCATCTCCTTACGATGCTCTATTACTTTATGGATCAGACCTTTAGGTCGAAGGCTCCAGGTGTTGCCCCCTGAGAAAGCCACCTGCTTCGGTCTAGGCATCCAGACAGCATCACAGCCCACACACAGACCAAGTGACTTGTGTGGTGCATATGTATTCGGTGCCCCTTTGTACCAATATTTATGTGTTCAAATAAATTAAATAAGTAAATGTACTGGTCCAATCAGAAGATTAATATAACAATTTAAAATACCTATCTAAATACACTGAAAATATTCACAATTAACAAAACCCCTATTTCTTATTTACAGGTGGTAGTTGGACAGGGGATCGGATGATTTCTCAATCAGATTATTGTCTACCGTGTTCTGAAACAAAGGTAAATTAAGACGTAAAACAACTATATCAAGGAATTACCAATACAATGCACTACGAATTACTTGAACGATGCTGATTTAAAATGGAACATAAGGTAGTATGAAAACCCCACTATTCAAATGATCTCATGGGACTTCAATTTAGAGAGCAATATACATAATAACAAAAGATTAAGAAACAGTGAAGGATTTTGATGGAACATATGCAGTAAAAGTCGTTATGAGCCTAATGAAACGACGTGAGCTGTGAAAACTTTATATGCAACAATTTACTTGGAATGAATAATGTACTGTAACAACCCTGAGCATTTGTAAGGCCAGTTGAAAGGCGAAACTAAACAGAAATTGGTAGCTTGAAGACCAAATAATAGATGAGTCGGAAAGATCCTCGTATATTAGCGAAGTCAATGTTGGCTTATGTTATGACACGAAATCTAGACTTTATTTAAACGCTACATGAAACGAAAAGCAATTACCAATTTTACCGAACCATTGATAGCAAGTGTCATAGCAAATATCACTGATCAGATGTTCCTTGTATGGGAAAGACATTAAAAAAAATTGATATCGTCTGCAAAGGTTTTCTGAACGATGTGAGGAATAAAGCGTACAGGCGAGCACCGAAGTTGAGATGAAATACAAGTGCAAACTAATTAAAACTGTACGTAAGATACAAGTGGTAATATATTTCGTTCGTAGATTGGTACATAGGACGCCAACTACTGCTCGTTCCCACTTTTCAACTGGACTCCCAGGTACTGAGTGACGTTACCAAAGGTTATTCATTCCAAATAAATTGTTGTATACAAATTTTCATAGCTAATAGCATTTTTAGTTCAGTGTACAACCTATTTTAAAGCAGAGGTGTCTTTCTGAATAACCATAATCTTATTACCCTATAGTATATTAAATTGATCATGAATTTATGTTTTGATTTGTTTAGGAAAACCATGGACAAAACGAATTCCAATTACCACTATCTTGCTTTCTCTTTTTAAAAGATTTGAAAATGCAAAGTACGGGTTTTGTTTATTGCAAAAAGTTTTCGTTCAGTCGAATAAATATTTCGAATTATGATACCTTAGTCTTTTGATCACGGTGATACATACTTTGTACGAGACATAGTATTTAGATAAAAAAAGCCACTAATTACTTCCCCAAAACTTACCAACCCTTACTATATATTATTTTCACAGCCGCATATTTATTTGTCAGCTGTCATAGAACTGATTAAGTATGGACAGTGGTATCATACGGGGAGCGCAAAACTAACAGCTTTTTTGGAGTAACAGGTAAACAACTGTAGCTCCATAAAGCAAAAACTGCACTGAAAATAATTCTATCGGGAACCAAGTGCTCATTAAGGGGATTTAAGAGAAAACTACAGGTAAAAATCCAGAATTTGAAGTCGACACTGTGTAAATTGTAAGTGAAAATAAACTTATTCGTGGAAATTTCGCGTAAATTTTGTATCGATTTCGGGCGAAATTCCCAGACCAGTGTAAATTTAGGGTTTCCTTGGACTTTCATCCGGAAATTTACTTTAAGTTAGTCGAGTTTCTCCCAAAGTTGAGTGTTTAAACTTCCAACACAATCTGGATATAAAAGCGGCGCCAATTAATATCAAAAGATTGGAGACAACCTCTATATAGTGTATTATTAAACAATACTCTCACTACGAATTCTCTTAAAGACTCATCTATAACAAACCTTTAGCAACTGAAGACCAAGTCGGGACATCTGCAAGACCTTTCAGCATTTTGACATATTATCATGGAAACGATGGGGTGTTGTCATCTATCGTTAAAGGTTACTGCGCACTTGAAGGTCACAATGTAGTAAAACGATTGGTGCGTCACCTCAACAATTCGTAAGGTTTCGCAGACGTGCTCAAACCAAAACAATCGTAAATTGGGTTTAAGTTTAACCACACTATGTCCGGGGGTGGATTTATCCGCAACGTTGCCATGTAAGCCTAATGTATCGCCCAGTATAATAACGGTCATGTCTACGTTCATGTAATCATGGAATTTGTCATTTTATATGACCTCCAACCCTCAAGTAACGAAAGTGATATCATCATAACGATATATGATATAGGACGAATGTTCAGTGACATCGTCGCGATGAATTATTAGTTAAGACGTGCCTGAAAGAAGTACATAAGGTAATGGGACTTCTGTGATTGGTAATTCTTTGAACAGTACACATACCTATTATGCCATATCAGTATGTAATAAGAACAAAGATAACTCAATGGTGAGACTATAATTAATGCCTACTTATCAGGGCTAAATGAGGAATTTAAAGCAGTTTGAAGGATTACGATTTACAGTTGATGGTTGGGGTTAGCAATTAGATTTAGCGTTTTCATCACGAACTGACATCAGCTACAATGCCAAGACTCTATTTAGCCAAGTGAGTGAATGAATTTCGCGCCGAAATCCAAGGCTTGTTATCGTAAATCTGAGTGGTTCGTCCATAAATTGTAGTCTCGTGGATGCAACTTTATGGTAGTGGTTGCATTCTGATTCTCGTACCTACTCCAACTAATAAATTTATGTAATAATGTCGTTCGTGTTGTACGGTCATCAAAGCATCCATAGTACCTGATTAAAGGGTAATCCACGTTATGTATTAGCTGTGAGGTGTGACTTCGTCGTTAGCTGGTTTGTCACATCATTCCCTTCTAACTCGAGTAAGCCCCCAGTCACTCGACACAGATCATCTACGTTAGTAGTTTACATGTTGGTACATAAACTCAGTGTGTCGGAATCAGACACTTGTCTTCAGGATGTAGGTGATAATCGTGATCAACATTCGTCGGAATAGCATATACGTTTGCGTGAGTTTCATTGATTTAATTTGCCGTGTGGCCATATTTTGTATGCATATGCCAAAGATGTAAGTTAGTATTTGTCGGTCACTATAACCATCATAGAATCATTTCAACATAGCACTTGTTGGACATTGAACTGTATAATGAACTTAGATCTCCGCGTGATAGACATGTCAAAGTTCCACAGAGTAAAGATCTGCTGAAGAAGTTCATCAATAATACCACTCAATACACGCACTTAGTGAACCTCTGGCTGTGAATACCATCCCTACATGCCTTAAGGCATCTGAAGACTTACACGCGCAATTGCTGGTAATGAATAAGCTACGTTGTCAGATTCCATTGTTTTGACTGACCATCACAATGCTTCTTGATAACAATACATTTAATGTTACAGATATTTTTAGTTTCACATAAATTCTTTTATACGGCCATTGACTTGTTCTTATATCGTTACGCCAGGGAGAATGCATTGTGCATTTCTCTGTTACTATGTGGCTGCGAAATATGGGCACGATTGTCAGTAGATAACTGTGGTGGTAAATAAATCCCCAAAAATCAATAACTCTGTAAGTCTTTAACATTTAATGCTGAACACATCTGTTTTACTGAGAACTCTCCATCACGAATGGTTACGCCGTGCTACGCATCCCTTTCAACTGTTAGCCAGCATAGACCAAATATCTCTCGACATACCGATTGCTTTCCAAATATACCTTGGAACTAACTGTTATTATATCCAGTTACGGTTAATTTCTCTACGTGATATAATCTTTTGTGGTTTTAACTAAGGTCTATATTGTGACGACAGGCAATCCAGAGCGATTTTAAAATCTGCGACGACTTTTTCCAGTCAGGAAGATGCTCCAGACAAGGGCTCGAGACTTCTCTCTATTATAAAAGATGAGAACTAACTTACGGTTTTGGAATTGAGTGTATTGTTGAAAGAATTTAGGAGATAGAAGATATTCCATTACAGGCTACTCACATCTCATGGAATCAGTTATCAATAATCCTCTTTGGCCACAGGATGCCTTTCATACCTCCAAAGTTTTAAATTGTTTTGCAAAAGTGATGTGTGGGCGATAGTGATAATGATTGGTTGTCTGCTTAGTCAGACATGTAGATAGTCTGACAGGTCTCAGGTGAGATATATATTCCCCTATTTTTACTACTATTATTACTCACTTATTATTGATTGGTAATTGTTGTTGGATTGTGCCGGGTTTTTGGTGTGGTAATATATTTACATTGTCGTCAGGCTAATCACGTGTTCTTGATCCGAGGTGTGTTGAAGTCCTGTAGAATAGACACTGGGGGGAATCTACTGGAGATAGCCGTCTAAGGTAAATTAACGTCTCATACGTGTAAACGCGGAAACCCAACCATTATAACATAAGACGAAGTAAAATCTGAACATTATAACAAGAAGTAATAAGAATCTATTCATACAAACGCTTCATATAGTAAACCTGTTGTAACGTGTGTATTGCGCGTTAGATGCGCAGTGTTTTATTGATCGATTGCAGTGACACGTAAACACGTAAGGACGGCCTACAGTCCCGATTGGTCCCGCTTCCCTGTCTAGCCCAGCCAGTTGAGTCTGGAACGCAAGTCACAGCCTCTGAGTTATGAATCGTTATATTTCAAACATACTCCGTTTATATACCAACCAAACAGACCACATCGTACCATAAAAATAGAAAACAACATCTGTACAATATTTAACGAGTGAAATAAATAATGGCCAATAGGGAATGCTATAGTATTCTAATTATAGTATGAATTAGGAATCCCAGGATTAACGCAATTGAATTAAGAAGACACAGGCACAACGAATGTACTGTATTTAGAATTCGAAATCGAGCATTCAACAAGTACAAAAGAATCATTAGTTAATTCAAACACCACATCCGCCACAGCTTAAATAGAAGTATAAGTGTTTGTAATCGGTTGTACGTCTTCTTGTTAAGTTCATCCTGAGTCTGTCTGACATTGTATAAGATAAAAACTTTGTAGTATCTAGAAAGTGCTCATTAGTATTGGAATTAACAAACGAAATCGGAACAGACTCACCTGGAATTGTATACAACCAGCATGTCGGTTTTGTAATGAAATCATTAATATCTAGAATTCGAACCATAGATTTTTCAACACTATCCCCCCCCACGAAATAATGTTGGATCTTTATACTCCCAAGTTATGAATAATGTGGCTTCATTTAAAACATATATCTCACATTGTTTAGAGTAAACATTAGAACTGTTTTTGTGATAAGAGTAAACAGCAGTTGATATGAAATCATCCGAAATATAATAAAACTCGAGGTCACTTAGTACTCGTGCTTCGCATTGGGCAGGTTTTTCACGAAGATCAAATACATTATGAGGATAGGTAATATATGATATGACGTCAGGATTTGATTCTTCTGAAATATTCTCATGAAATTCATCAGGACTGTCGTTGCAGAGCGTAGGATCGTTAGAAAAATCAGCATCTATCCAAACCACATCAGGTTTTCGATCATGATTAGGTTCATTTAACATATTTTCCTCAGAATTGCAAGTAATTTCATTAGAAATATGTGAATCATTAGGAAAAGTCATACTTGGTACAATAGCATGAGAATTCTGATAAATCGGTTGATTATGAACTGTTGTCTCACAAGAATTCTGGATTTCATTTAACTCTGAACTGCCATATGACTCTGCACTGTCTTTTGAAATCGTTGATAAAGATAAATGATCATCATGAATACTCGACTCAGTAGAATCAGAATTACAAGACTTAATATTAATTGCAGTAAGATGAACATTAGCATTACAAACTGACTGAACTTGTCCAATATCACGACATTTGAAGCATTTAGAATTATGAAATTTACATGAATTACAAGAGTGGAACTTGCAACAGGACAAACACTGACCAAACTTGTCCCAATCCTCGTGAACTGCATCCAAATTCAATGAATTGTCTGCATAACCTTGAGTATGCACTAGGTTGAGATGACGTAGTAATGTAGTGGACTTTTTTATATCCTCATGAATCATTTTACGAAATCTTCCTCCTTTACGACATTTGAAATTTGTATACTGAGCATAGTCTAGCAGTAGATCCTTGAGAGCTGTATAAGAAAGCGAAATGGGTTTTTCCGGCATAGCCAGAGTTCTTAATAAGCTGTATGCTTCTTTTCCAATGAATGTGAGGAAGTGTGCCACAATATTAACATCCTCATCATCTTCCTTGGTCATAGCCCAGATTTCGAACCTTTCAAAGTAATCTTCAAAAGCTTCTGAAGTTGAATGAATATCTAACTTTTCCATTGCAGGCTCCATCGCGACGCCAATATAGTATTCTAATTATAGTATGAATTAGGAATCCCAGGATTAACGCAATTGAATTAAGAAGACACAGGCACAACGAATGTACTGTATTTAGAATTCGAAATCGAGCATTCAACAAGTACAAAAGAATCATTAGTTAATTCAAACACCACAAATGCCCATTTAGAGTCCAAGGACATCATTAGACTTAACATGATAATGATTGGTTTATTCCTCAGCATACCTAACAAAACTGATTAAGAGAGTCCAAACGCGAGTGTTTGCATATGAGCAGGATGACATAATTTTATTTGGACTGATATATAGAGTAACGGGTACTCTTGAAACTAGTGATGTCTTACCGAACTCCAAGGCAAGATCTGTTATGTGACCTCCGGATGAAGTAGGTAGATGACGAGAAAGAGACCAGAGTTTCTTATTTCCACATCATACCAAAGATTTTACGATTTATAATTTTAAATGTTCGGTGTTTAAAACGTTCTCTGAATTTCTGTTAAGAGTGAGTACATGCCCCTTACTACAAATTATGAATATACAAAACTTGAAGCTAAGTTTGTTGGTTTTTTGAAATGCCTTTAATAGGAAGTAGGACACATACAAATGTGCCACCTTCGGTTCCCTCATCATCTGTATTTTACTCTCGAAAAGTGGGATCGAAAT